TATATCTATAATCTATATCTATCTATCTATCTCTTCTCTCTCTCTCTCTCTCTCTCTCTTCTCTCTCTCTCTCTCTCTCTCTCTCTCCTCTCTCTATATATATATTATATATAATTATATATATATATATATATATATGCTTATATATATAAAGATATATATATATATATATATATATATATTTATATAAGATAGATAGATATATATATATATTATATATTTATATATATATTATATATATATATATATGTTGTATATATTATATATATATATATATATATATATATATATGTATATATATATATATATATATATATATATATAATATATATATATATAATATATATGTGTGTGTGTGTGTGTGTGTGTGTGTGTTGTGTGTGTGTGGTGTGTGTGTGTGCGTATATATATATTATATATATATATATTATATATAATATATATATATATATATTATATATATAATATATATACATATATATATGTATGTATGTATGTGTGTGTATGTGTGTGTGTGTGTAGGTAGCCTCCTATGTTTATGCAGACTGCCTGGATATTGCCTTGGCTAAGAATAAGAAAACCATACTAAATATAACTGATGTGTCATCGCGAAGCCCCGAGAACACGGAACGAGACGCAAGGTGAAAATGGATATCCTTTCGGGTTATATAAACAGCAATAACAGGCACGCACTTTCCTTCCCTCCCCCTGATGACGTCACACGCCAGTCGCACTTTGTTATTTGTCATTCTGTCTCTTCGCCTAAAGATCTGCCGACTGTTCGCAGACACACTCTTTAAGTTATTGGTCTCGCTTGAGTCACATGCACAAATGATAGGAATCTCTGGTAAAAAAGCGGGAGTCTCTGGTAAAATGTAATATTTTTTAAATCTCTGTACGTCTGGCAGTCTTTATCTTTCTGCACATAAACAGGGTATATTCAAGTATTGAGTTTGTCCTGAATGTTTTGAATGTTTTGTTTTCTTAAAACTGACTATTTTGCTTTCTTTATCATTTTCTGTGTTTCTCTCCCCCTCTTAGTTTCTATCATTATGCATGCATTTAATAATGGCCATTTCGGAGGCAACAAAAATACACACATACGCATTCATGCAGTCACGAAGGCCTACACCCACGCCAGACTACGCACAAAACACACACGAATCTCCCTTTTCCTCCTCCTGATGTCCCTCCCTTCCCCCTCTGCTCTCACAGCCCCCTTCGAGCCCTTCCACGTATCCCCTTATTCCCCTCCCCTCCCCTCTCCCTATTATAATTTTACCTCCACTTTTGTATTTATTTTTGTTATTATCTTTTGTTTGTTTGGCTTATTATCTTTATCATCTTCCATATTTTGTTGTTATCAATTGCATTTTTAATTTTGTTTCATCATATTTCAGTTTGATTTTATTATGTCGAAACTACTGATGTAAATATAATTTGTCTTACAAGAAGGCTCTCTAAGATGTTTGATTACTGCCCAAGAGCCTGGTCCGAAGATCTATACTTATGTAACCCTTCCGTATCCTTTTACGCTCAATAAGCAGCTTTAATCTCAAATCTCAAATCTACCTTACCTGAAGGCTTCGATGACCCTCCTGGAGTGGCGCCTCTCCCCCAGGCCCATGACGCCGTTGAGCCTCAGCGAGCAGGTCCTGAGGGGCGCGGCCGGGGGAGCGGAGGGGCCGTCGAGGGCGGGCGAGGACCCCCGGCGGCGCCACTCGCCCGTTCGCCATCAGGACCAACATCTCGGCGATGGCTTTGGTCCTGGGGAGGGTTGGTTAGCACTGCTGCTGTTGTAGTTATCAATTATTTCTTTTATTATGACTATTGTTATCATTAGCATTATTGTTATGATTATTAGTGTATTATATCATCATTAGCGTATTATCATGGTATTATCATTATCATCATTATTATTATTATCATCATTATCATTATTATTACCATTACTATTTTCATCTTTATTATCATAACAATTACCATCATTATCATTATAAGTAATGTAATTATCATTATTTTATTATTCCTATTCTCATTATCGTTATTATTCTCATTTTTTATAATTGCTGCTCTTGGTGTTACTGTAATCCTCAGTATCATCACCGTATTCATATTCATATTCTTATTAGTCTTCCCTTTCTCATTATCATTACTATTCTTCCCCTCATCTTATCTTATCACTATCAAACTACGCATCTTATGGTACATTTAAAAAAAAAAGAAAAGAAAAAAAAAAAAAAAAAAAAAAAAAAAAAAAAAAAAAAAAATCAAGACAATCAAAAACAAAAGAAAAACAAAGCAAAAACCGGCCGCCCTTTCTCCCAGCGAACAGCAATTTTACCTCAGCCCCAAAACGCCCGACAGATAAATAAACTTTCAGCCGAGCGTGAACGGGGGCGGACTGACCTGGAATAATGGTCTGCATGGGCGTGAAGAGGAAATATGGGCGTGCTTTCATCACCCGCCCGCACTTCTTCCCCTCCGAACACCACGTTGTAGGTGGAGGTATAGACCAGGGCCCGCACCTGCGATTGTTATTGTTTTTGTTATTGTTATTATCTAGTGAGGATTTTATTATTATTAATGTTATTATTATTATCATCGTTATTATTGTTATTTTGTTATTATTATTATTATTATTATCATTATTATTATCATTATTATAATTATCATTGATATTCTTATCATTATTATCATTATCATCACCATCATTTTACTGTTGTTATTGTCATTGCCACCATCATTCATATTACCACTATTATTATCATTGCTGTTTTATTATGATCATTGTCATTATTATTATCCTAATCATCATTGTTTTTATCATCACTTTCCTTATCAATATTGTTATTATCATTACCATTATTATTGTTATTATAACTATTATTAGTAGTTTTAGTAATATTAATGTCACTATTAATATTAGTAGTATTATGATAATGATGATGATAATAACAAAAATGATGATAATGATAATGATAATAATCATAATGATTGCTATTATTAATTGACAATCATTGCTATATCATTGTTATCATTATTGTTATCATCACTATTATAATTATCATCATCATTATTATGATTATCAATATTATTATTAGCATCATCATTAAAGTCATGATTATATTTATTGTCATTATCATCATTATTATCATTATCATTATAATCATCGTCATCGTCATTATCATTGTTCTGTCGTTGTTGTTATTGCTATCATTATTATCATTATCTTTATTATTATTATTATCTATTCATTTTTTTTATATATTATTATTAATAATATTATTATGCTATTGTTACTGCTGTTATCATTATTATCCTTATTATTATTATTACTCTTATTATCACTATTATAACTATATCATTATTCCCATTATTCTTATTCTTATTTTCAATCATCATCATCTTCACCATTTTTAGTTTTTCAACATATAATGATATAATTAATGATAATAATGATAATAATAATGATAGTAATGATAATGATAGTAACAACAATCACAGCACAACAACAACAATAATAATAATAATAATAATTATGATGATGGTAACAATTTTTATCATTATTATTACCCTTATTATTGTCTTCATTATTATCATTAAACTATCATCGCTATCATCATCAATACCATTATCATCACCATTATATCAATATAATTATAAATATCATTATAACTGTTACTATTATCATCGTCATGATAGTTATTATTACCATTTCAATTTTGTTATTACTATCATGATCAGCATTGTTATCATCGTTATTATTATTACAATCATTATTATCATTATTACTGGTATTGTTATCATTATCATTATTGATGTCATATAATAATCATTATTATTGTTATTATATCTATCATTATAACCATTTTATTACTATTACTGTCAATATCATTTTCATCAACAGCATTGCCATTATCATTACTAGTATCATTATCATCATTATCATCAATGATATTATCATTATTGTTATCAACATTATCATCATTATTATCAATAATATTATAATTATTGTTATCAATATTATCATCATTATTACAATGAGAGTCATCATTATCATTGTTATAATTCTTCTTATTTATTATAATCATCATTAGTATTATCATTATTGTACTTCTTATTCTTATCATTATCATAAGTATCACACTCATTAACATCCTTATTACTATCATTATCGTGATCACCATCGGGAGCACTCTATCCCCATACTGTCACCATTCTATCTACTCACTATCATCACTATATCACCACCATCATCCTGACCACACTGGCAGCACTCGAAAAGGAAAAACGAAAGAAATCGCATATATTTTACCCCCGTAGCCAGCGCCGCACTTAAGACGGCTCTCGTTCCTTCCACGTTGACTCTCTCTTGCTGGTCGAAGTGGGGACTCAGCTGTTCCTTCCCGGACACTCCGTAGGATGCTGAAGATGTGGGGTAGAAGAAGTCAGGATATGCGGTTAGTAGGGGTTTAGTATTCTTTTCCTGGTACTGGCGTCTGAGATTTTTTTTAGTAATTTTGTCTTGTTTGTCTTTTGTGTTTTGTTTTAAGGGTACTATATTTTTTCGCCTGTAGTAGGAACAGCAGTAGTGGTAGCAATAGTAGAAGGAAGAGTGGCAGTAGCAGTAGTAGTAATAGTGGTAGTAGTAGTAACCGACATAGTAGTAGCGGTAGCATAATAGTAATAATAGTAGTATCAATGGTAGTAACAGTAGTAGTATATAATAGTAGTGCTAAAAGTAGTAGTTGTAGTTAGCAGTAGTAGTAGTAATAGTAGTAGTAGTAGTAGTCGTGGCAATAGTGGTAATAATAGAAGTTTGCAGTAGTTGCAGTAGTTATAGTAGTAGTAGAAAACAGCAGCAGTAGTAGTAGTAGTTATTAATACTAGTAATTGTTGTGTTGTTGCTATAACTTCATTGCTCTTATCATCATCTTGAATTTCCTTCATATGAACTATATTGACAAAATACAACGTCGAACAAGAAGTTTCAAAAC